ACGTGCACACGTCGCGCGGATCGATGGGTCCGAATGTCGCGTGTACATTAATTATTCAGTTTCAAGGCTTTTGCGCGCGGCTTTGCTTTCCGCGATCTACGACTTTCGACGGCCCGGCTGTTCTAGATTTCTTTGACCGCGAAACACCAACGGCCGCAAGCTCCTCCTCCTCCTCCTCCAAAAAAACTCCTATCTCTCTTACACAGCGTATTTCCACTTCGCGCTCGCGCGGCTAACCGCAACGCGGAGAACCGCATCTCGAAACAGATGCGATATCGCGCGGAAGAAAAAAGAAAAACGTTTTAATCAAACGCACTTCCTTGCTTCGTGTGTGTGTGTGTGTGTAAAACACATGTATTGTGCAAATCGTGACTTAGTTAACTTCTTGATGTCATAACTGCCGCGCGGACTCTATCTACCGCATTTTACATATATAAGGACGTGTCTGTGTCAAGGGGAGCAACCGTGTGTACAGCCCACTTTCAAGACTAGATAACCACGGTTGGATATCTATTCTCCCACGTTAGGGTTAGGTTGCTCGCGAGATACGGTAATGGGGTCTCTGTCTGTGGGAGAGAGAGTTTCGAAATGTATTTTCATCCGCATTCACAACATTAGTTTCACGCGCGCGCGCGCGCGCTCGTCGATTAATTTGGGACGCGCAACATCCATTATCGGCTATCGGGAGAACTGTGCGCCATTAGGCGCTCACACCGGTGTTTATCGGCGCTCGCAGACAGTAGTAGTGTGCAGCGTGTATAATGTGACGTTGGGCGCGATTCCGAATAGCAATAATAACTCTCGCGTTAAATCATCAACGAGATACAGAGAACGCGTGTTGGGTACAAATTTTACGTCAGCGAGTACGTGTATAAATTTCGCGAATCGAAATGTTGACCTCCGACGACCTTTGATCTCGTGAAATTTCTTGCTAATTAAATTTTACAATTAGTAATTAAGAAAAATATAATAACACGGTCTTTTTCGAGCTTGTAATGGATCTTAAAATTTGTTTAGAAACAAAATGCAAATAAAACGCATATACAATTTAACAAATGGACAAACGTTTCCGGCCCTTACTTGAGCCCTCTTCTGAGTGTACGAAGATAAAAATATATAAATATAAATATAAGCTCGAAAAATTCTTATTACTTATTGGTAATATTGCGAGCGAATTTATTTAAATTTATTTAAATTTTACAAAATTCAAATCTGCGCGAAATAATTTTACCCGAAAAATAATATGAATTTAATTTATTTGAAAGATATCATTTTATATGCGAAAATTACGTTTTTTTCTTATAATATTCTTTTTAATATATAACACATTCTTTTTCGAGCTCATAATGGATCTTAAAATTTATTTAGAAATAAAATGCAAATAAAACGCATGTACAATTTAACAAATGGACAAACGTTTTTCGACCCTTACTTGAGCCCTCTTCTGAGTGTACGAAGATAAAAATATATAAATATAAATATAAGCTCGAAAAATTCTTATTACTTATTGGTAATATTGCGAGCGAATTTATTTAAATTTATTTAAATTTTACAAAATTCAAATCTGCGCGAAATAATTTTACCCGAAAAATAATATGAATTTAATTTATTTGAAAGATACCATTTTATGCGAAAATTACGTTTTTTTTGTGTTTTTTATTTTTTCCAACAAAAGAATGAAATTCGAAGATAAACGATTGTTTCCACGTAACAAACGGACTTTGGATACAAATGCTTATCGATTCTGCATTTTTCGCGCACGAAGTACCGTGAAAAATGTCGCGATCGAGAGACTTGGATGCGCGTGGATTCCTCGCAAAGACGAAGGTTCAGGTGTCGCGCGATGTTCTTTGATGAGAACCGACTAGGTTGTAAAACGATAAAGAAATCGGGCGCAATTCTGTTGATTTATCACTTTATCAGCTTCTTCCGCAAGCTCGGCTGCGAGATAAAGAGAGCGTATTTTTGGACGACGCGCGAAGAAAACGAACGTCAAAAAAAAAAAATGACGCGTCAGCGTTGATGCGTGGCGATTAATTACCGATGCAACCCGGTCGGCGAGATTAATGAAGCGCGCGCGCGCACACAGAAATCTTTCTTCGCGCAAACACAGCCTCGTTCGCGAACTTTGCCAATAATCAGATATCGGATCTCAGTTTGCCGTGAGGAATCTGCCAAAGACGAGGAAGAAGAAGGTCGCGAATAACTTCCGCGCGGAGATATCGCTCGTCTGGGCGCGATAACAGATTCTCAGGCTGTTTTTATTACGCCCGATTGCATCCCTCGACGACTTTTCGGCTCGGCGACAAAAGAAGACGATACGCGCGAAGTATATAAAACGCGCGGCGTCTTTTTACCCGCTCTCGCGCGTGTTTCTCGCGTGTGCGCGTCTAATGGGGTTTAATAGCACCCTCTCTTCGCGACATTGAAATTCAATTCAGTTTCCCTGATAAAAAAAAAAGTTCTCTCGCTTTGTTTCGAAGAGAGAGAGAGAGACCAAGAGAATTCCCTATTCAAAACGAAAAGATTTAATTTGTATTTAAAAAAAAGTGTTGCGAAACAATTTTCTCTCATCGCGAGAAAAGGGAAACTTTTCTGTTGAAAACACGCCGAGTGGTTCTGTGATTAAAAGATGCGTCGTATTTCGAGACGACGACCGTTGAGTTCCTTGCAATTTTTTTTTTTTTTATCTTAAAACAAGTACACACTCGACATTTAAACTCGACACACGCGCCTCGACGGAATACCAGTTGATTTGGTATTGCCTCTTGTTTGATATTTCTCGCGCTTGTTACACAAGCTCTCGCGGCGCGCGATAACTTCTTTTTTAAAGCGAAATTCCCAGAAGATCTCGAGAGAGATCTTTCTCTCGGATAATTTTAAGAGAAAACGTTACGTGGACCGAGTCTAATTTTTTTTTTTTTTTTTTTTTTTTTGGTCGAAAAGAAGCCAGCTGCGGCTCATCATCGGGACGGATTAAATTTACGAGTAATCGATATCGCATCCGCGGAAAATTGTCCGCGGTAGAATTGATCCCGTGCCAAAAACTATAAATCTCGGCGTCAAAATTTCCGATAATGGCCCCCGCCATCGGCCCCCTCCGATCACTATAATAAATGTCCCGTTATCGCACACCCCTCCCCCGTTCGAGGGGAAGCAGTTAATGTCATTTGCATCAAGTCCCCGCCCAAGTAATTAGCGCGATTCTTTTTCATCATTCCCGTCAGAACGATATTGGCGGTAACCGCAAAAAAAAAAAAACAATATCGACGAGAAAGAGGCAACGCTATTACATATGTAAAATATCGACCGGGAGAGATATCTTTCACCCCCCACCCCAGTCTCGGCAATTGATGAGAGTCTTAGTGTTATCAAAAAATAAAAAAAAACAATATCGACGAGAAAGAGGCAACGCTATTACATATGTAAAATACAGAGGCGTATTTAACGTCGGTGCAACCGACGTGCGATGCACCGACGGGCCCCGGGATCTGCGGGCCCTCGGTGCATGATAAACATTTATAAATTTATAATATTTATAACATTACCTATCGGATTTGCGAGTGCCGAAAGATCATTTAGTGTATTAAGGAGACTTAAAAGTTATTTAAGAAGTACCATGACACAGAGGAAAGAACATCTGATCTAACTTTATTATCAATTGAAAAAAATGTTTTGATTAATTTAAATTTGGAAGATGTTGCAAACAAATTTATGTCGGTTAAAGTTCGAAGAGGTGTTCGTTTCTAAATTTGCATACAAATAAAAAAT